AGGAAAATTAACATTTCCTTCTTTGTACTTTTCATTTCAAGATATGATGATTCCTCCAAGACATTCCGACTAAGTGAAGAGAGCACTTCCCTCTCCACAGGAGCACAGCACCAAGGTGTCAAGAGAGTCATTCTGGAGAAGTGAAAATGAAAATCTTTCACTGCTTCCTCCCTGACAAAGATGAATTTTTTACCCACTGATGTGTCAAACACAAATGAAAAATGTTACCTTCAACTTCCCAGCAGGGAAAAAACACTGTGGGCTGAAACAGAGCTTGGAAAATATAGACTAATAAGAGTTTTTAAATAAACATGTACTGGATTTGTTTAAGAGGTCAGACAGAAGTCCACTGAGCAAGGAAAACTATCATCGCAGAAACCTTTCTCAACAAATTATAAATCTGCTTTTACAAACCTGTCCCTAAGATGTTCCAGAAAACACACCTGACAAGTTGTCATCTCTGTAACTGGGAGCAAATCTAGTGACCTGCTATTGCATAAGAAAACTGCTGCTGAGTACGTACATGTGACACCCTGATACTCTTTGACCCAGCGCAAGGTGTAAGGCGTGAGGGGGGCTTCCCAGGGCAGCATTCTCCAAGACCAGCTCCGTCCCTGCCACTGTTCCATTAGCAAATACTCAGACTCCATCCCCAACAGGCTGAACCAGAAACTCTGCGAGTGGGGTCCAGCCATGGTGTTTTAACTAGACCCCCAGGGGATTCTACTCCAGAGTTCTAGAAACTGCTTTAAGGCAGAGATTGGCATACTTTTTCCTAAAAAGCCAGAAAGTAAATATCCAAGGCTTTACAGGCTGAGGCCATGCTGAGGCTACTGTTTAAGTACTTGGTAAGATGGTAAACACACTCTGAGCTCATAGGTCATGAGCACACAGGTGGCTGGTCAGTGTGCCAACCCCAGGTCCAAGGCATCTCAAAACTCCCTTCTACACAAATGTACAGAAATCCTCGCCTAGCAGAGGGTCCGCTCCAACACACTCCGCCCACATCTAAAATCACCAGATTACCTCTCCTACTCCACAAACCCCGTCTAAGAACCTTCAGCACAGGCAGGAAACGTGAGACTGAGAGTTCAACGGGCAGCCACCATGCATTGGCCTGCCCCTGTGCCAGCCACTGGGGGACACGGGGAGTCTACGTGCAGCTTCCACCCCCACCATGTGTCCAGGTAGGGACCTCTGCTTTTCCACGTTCTCTCAGGTAGACCTATCAGTTCTAGCGACCAGTATTAATAATCCCTCTTTACGTACGAGGAAACTGAGGCTCAGAAAGTTGAAACCATTTTCCCAGTGCTGCAGACCTTGTGAGAGGCACTGCTAACTTTTAATCCAGGCTTCTGGGATCCTAATACTTACGAGCCCCTCATCACAAACCACACTGCCTCCTGGAAGTGGTCCTTGACCTCAAGGCCCTGCAGTTACTCAAGGAACGAAGATCAACCGGGACACAAAACTACTAGAGAACAGCAAAAAGCAGTATTTAGTGTAACTCTACCTGCATATTAGGAACCCTTTATTTGGGGGTCAAATAGAAGAGTCAAAAGTGATGCGACCTCAGAGTAATGTCCCATCCCCCACAAGGGTGTCCCCATTGTGGTCAATGGGAACTGAATATGCTGACTAGCCACCAAAGGGGAACTGAGACTGCACATGGAATTAAAGCTGCCAATCAAGTGGATTTAATGGTGAGATTATCCTGATTATCTGCGGGAGGCCCCATGTGTTCGGTACTTAAATGTCAAAGGAGGAGACAGGAAGAGTCAGTGATCACCGTGGGACTGAACTGTGCCTCCCCAAATTCACATACTGAAGCTCAGACCCGTACTGTGGTGCTCTCTGGAAACGGGGCCGCTGGAAGTCATCCGGAAGTCATCAGGGGGCCTCACACGGGGTTTGTGCCCTTCTGAGAACAATGACAGGGAGCTTGCTTCCTCTCTCTCTGCCCTGAAGGACACAGCATGCAGGCAGCTGTCTGCAGCCAGGAGAACCCCCCCAGAACCCGAATACGGGGACACTGGGACCAGGGACTTCCAGCCTCCAGAACTGTGAGAAAGGAACTCGACAGTGCAAGCCACAGGCCACAGTGTTTGCTATGGACACCCGAGCAGACTGTGAAGTGTGGGGAAGACTCCATCTGCTGGCTTTGTGGATGGAAGGAGGCCAAGAGCCGAGGACTGCAGGTGGACTCTAGAAGCTGGGCAAGTCAAAGAAACAGACTCTCCCCGAGAGAGGCCAGGGAGGAACTCTGACGATGGCTTGATGTGGTCCAGAGAGAGCCATGTCACAGTCCTCACCTACAGATCTGAAAGATAAATTTGTGCCACTTTGAGCCACTAAAGAGAGTCCAAGAAGGCTAGCTCTTTATCGAGTCTTAGCCAGCCGGGTGTGGAGGGACTGGCAGGTCCCACCCAGGTGACTGGGGGAGAGTGTTGACAGCCCAGGGCGCGGCTGTGCAGAAGCGCCGGGCGTAAGTCACCACAGGCTCCCCCAGGCTGGAGAGCAGACACCTCGAGTGGAGTGAGAGGTCAGATGGGGCTGTCTCAGGACAAATCAGGACACCCCAATCTCACAGAAATGAAGCAACAGGAGACTGGAAAGGGTGAAGGGCAGTATCACATTTTCACGGTCTCTCGCACAGAGCAAGTGTTCTTCTTAGACAGTCGCCCTGGGAGGCTGAGCACCAACGCTCTGAGCACCACAGGGAGCTCCTGGGGAGCCGCTGGCCTCGAGCAGAGCCGGTCCAGCTGAAGGGCACCCCCAGCCAGGGCAGTCGGCGGCTTAATCCCTCGCTGAATGTGTCTGACTGACTTCTGATGTCTAGTTCTAAAACAATTTAATCTACCCTTAGATTCCTCTGCTAAATATATTCAAAAGAATGTGCTACAAAAAGCAGTTTCAGAGAAGGCTTCCAAAAGTGCCGTGAATGATGTCAGCCACATCATAGGCAAAGGATAGAGTTTCCTCAGGTGACTTTCTGAAGTAGACAACAAGTGTTCTGAAATAAAGGTTTCAGGACCAGCACTTTAAAAAAATCCAGACTCGTGACCTTACAATAACTTAAAGTTGGCATGATGCAATAAATGAGTGCGAGATGACAAAAATAGAAGACCCCCCCCCCGCCAAGGTCAGGTGGACAGCCAGCCTGCTGGATGCGAGACCTTGGGAAGGACAGAGGCTGGGTGTTCCAAGAGCTGTGTCAACATCCCGACCCTGTCATTTACCAGCTCTGTGACTCTGAATGAGCTTCCCCAGTGGCAAAACGCCATTTCAAGCAGAGGAACGTGGGCACAGGGAAGAAGGCATGGTGTGGCATGCTGGGGACACCCAGGCCTGGGGAGGGGCCTCTGCACAGGTGGCCTGGCCCAGGCGGCGCTCAACAACCTGAGGCCTCTGGGAGGGTGATGGGAAGAGGCAGGGACAGCTTCAGGGGCACATGAGTCGGGAAAATATCAAGACCCCATCCTCTCACAATCCACAAATGCATATTAAGCCCTGTGGACGGTTCTGGAAGGCGAGAAACCCGTTGACTTGTGCTCTGTCTCCACGTTCTGGGAGCTCTAAAGCCCCCAAAGGCCTTCCTGATCTCTCCTGTGTCCTGGATGAAACTCACTTCCACGTGGACAAGAAAACACTGCTGAGTTTTAAGCAGGTTTTAAACATCACTGGGTTGCATTGCAGGAATGGCTCCGGGGGCAGGTAAAAGAACAGAGTTTGTTTGTGGCACATGCTCAGAACACAGGTCAGAAAGGCAAATCAGTCAGCGGTGCTGACTCTAACGGCCATCTCCTGACATTTCTGCCCTTTACGTGCCTGTCCACATGCTGCACTGCCAGGCGCCGGGCCAGACCTGGGCGTTGCACGAGTCCCTCCTACAGATGGGCAGTGGCCACCCGGCCAGCCTCTGCACAAGCAGCAGAGTATTCCGTTTTCATTCCCCGTCACCTCACCCAGGAAGAAGTCAGAGGCAGAGCCCTACCGTCCACAGCCCCCTCGGAATCAGCATGTCCATCTCCCCTGCCTGAATTCTCACTGGCCCAGGAGCAGCTGAGACCATGTGGGGAGAACGGACCCTTGACCACCTTCAACCCACGCACCACACATTCCTCCCCTAGGCCTTCTGGGATTTTGGTCGGCAGTGATTCGCAGCTCTCAGCGTAGGGCCCTTGTACAACTCCTGTTAATCTGATCTTTTCACCTGGCAGTGCTCCACGCAGCAGCACCTCTGGGGCGAGAGGGAGAGCATCGTAGACCGAGCGAGTCGAGAGCAGCCTCTGGAGCTTGCGCTCATGCTATGCTGAGGGGGGGGTGGGATCCACACTCCGAGTACATCACCTGCACTGCTCCACTCACCACTCTGGTCAAGACACCACCAGGGTGGAGGAGACATGGTGTAGACAAGGAGGCCCCTGAGTGCTCCCACCCCAGGCCCCCAACTCCTGCACCTTGGCAGGGGCGCACACCTTCACACAGGCAAGCCTTCTATCCAGAATCCATCAGCCCTCTCTCTGGGGCTCCTCACTGTCTCCAGTCTCCCAAGGCTGCCACCTTCTTTCCATCACTCACAGGATTTGTGTAGAGTAGACCCACCGTGTACACACAGCCTGCTATCTTTAGGCCCAAACCGCAGAGGGTTCTTTAAAAAATATGTTTATAAGTCTAGATCAAATACTACTCTGACTAATTAATTATGTATTTATTGATTTTATTTCCAAATAGGACAGGCAAGAACTGGGGAAGAGAGAAATGGATGGGGACCTCTGGTGTGATGCACTGCACCAACCAAACAGCAGAGGTAAGAAAGTACATCCGCTCATTAGCTGGCTGGCAGTGACGGGTGCTCTGGAGGGGACGTCCCAGCTCGCCTCTGGTCTCCAGCCCAGCTGGGAGGGGGTCCACTTGTTGGCTGGTTAGGGTGGGGTTATGATGTTGGGATGACAGAGGTGATGTCTTCACACAGAAAACCGGGAAGAGTGGGTACTCACCCAACCCAGAGATGTTGATGGCTTTCACGGATTTCTTCATTTTGTAAAGAACCATCCGGTCCACGTCCAAAGCCTAAAATACAGAGAATATGTGAATGAAAATGTGTCTGTGCTTAGACCAGGGCGCAGCCCTACGAGATGCCTTCTGGAGGCCCCTGCTGGGCCACCAGGCCCCTGGGGCTGTTTCTGAAGGACAAACCTTCAGCATGATGCAGAAGCCTGGCCTTTAAATGGCGCTGAGCAGCCGTCTGGTTGGCAATAACTGAGAACCAACCCCTCCTCATGCGCCTCATCCACCTGCAGCGGGTGAGCGGCCCTGCCTGACACCCCTTCTGCATAAAGTGAGTGGCTCTGGTCAGACTACTCCTACCTGGCTGTGCTCTCCGCATACCGGCCAGTCTCAGCATGTGCCTGTCCCTACATTCACAACCCATCCCCCAATGGAGCACTCCGACCAGCAGGCCCCAAGGACAGCCATGCTGCAGGACCAGACCTGCCCGACAGACGCGGTGGAGCAAGGGAGGCAAACCGCTCTGGGACTGGAAAGACCCAAACAAGAACGTGTTCGCTGTGAGGAGGCACCTCCCCAGTCCTCCCCACACCTCAACGCCCTTCCAGAAGCCGGCAATAGCAATACCCGCTTTACAAGGTTGAATGGTTAAACAGACACACTATATATTTAATGTTTGCCAAATTTTACAGACCAACTATCCCAAACTAGCAGCATATGGCTCATATAAAGCCTACGCGTAGTAGGTGCTCAAACAGTACCTGCAGTGACTTATCGAAGCTGGCAACTAGAAAACTAGAGGTAACGTTTCCTTGTTGCCCAATTAAACAACAGAAGAACCAAGAGTGTCGACCCTTAGGTGTGATGGGAGGGAGAGGGCGTCTGTGCAACAGGACGGTGACACCTGTCACAGGGTTGCCGGATGACTGACTGGAGAACTGTGGGGAGCGCCCAGCCCAGCGTGGTGAACACAGACCCCACAACAGTGGTGACGATCACCCACTGTGGGTCTGGCCATAAAACACGGCACGGCCCATCTCCCAATACAGCGCAACCCCTCAGAGCACGGAGCCTCCCGGATCCCCCTCAAACCAGTGTCAACCGCAGCACCCTAAGTCCTGGTTCTAATGCAACAATGGCAGCGACTTTACTGGATGCTAAAAGCAGATGCTAATGATCAGTGTGACAATTTTAGATGGGAAAGAGATCACAAGGCCCCAGACATTTGACAGAGGGTTACAACACAGAGCAGCTCTAATTGTGACACTGTACGTCTGACCAAACACAGGACATACTCCGCCAGGAGCGAAGCCGACCGTGGACTCTGGGTGGCAACCACACGTGTCCCACGGAGTCTGCGGGACGCTGTGCGTGTGCAGGGGCAGAGCTATGTGGGAACTCTACTGGTTGATTTTGCTAGGATCCTAAACCTAAAAATGTCCATTGAGAAACAAAGCATTAGCCTGGCGCAGTGACACACACCTCTGTCTCCCGGCCCCGGCTGTCGACAGCACTGCTGCAGGCAGGTGTGCGCCGGCTATATGCAGTGCCCAAGTCAAAACCTCCCGCAACCTGGTGGGCTCTCTACAAGCACCACTTGGCCACGTTCCTGAACAACGTTCTACAAGCTGGGAAGGCAGGAAGGGAGAGAACCCCACAGGCTTAGAAGCACATCACTAAGGTTGGCCACTGGAAAGACTTCCTGAGAACCTCAGAACAGGGTCCCAACTTATTAGCAAGCTTTAAAACCTGCTCTGCTGCCCACTGCCTCTGCCGGCTTTGGCTAGACACCCAGCGTCCATCATCAAGCATGGCCTGCAGCCCTCGACCTGCTGTCCTCTCTCTTGCTTCTCACACTGAACACTACTCTCTCCTCACACCCTGCTCCTGCTTCCTCTTGAGCCCTGACTTCTGCTCCAGCCTGGCAAGCTGGTTCAGAGGCGTCCTTCCTCCAGAGCCACCTGATGTCCCCCTCCAGGGTGAGCCAGGCACTCACCGTACATTTCCCCTAGTCCTGTGCTTACTCCACGTTTCAGCTGAGAAAATTCACTGAGTATCCAGTAAGTGCTGAGCGCTAAGCCAGGTGGCCTTCACTGTCCAGCCAGGACAAGACCCTCCACAAACATCACGCTGGCGAGAGCCAGGGGCGCAGGGCTCTGCCTGCACACAGACCTGCTTCCCCCAGTGGTTGAGCTCTGCCCCAGGCCCGCCCTGCCCACTGAGCAGCCACTCCTGAGCAAGTACATGCGACCGACAGCAATCACACCCCTGGCACATTAAGTTACACAGATGCTAACAGAACTGCCCCTGCTCACCTCCCAGGGCCTGCCACACACCTGGCCCAGAACGGGACTCCTTGTCGGCAGGCCCCCATGTTTCCTGAGACGGAGGGGACGTGGAGCACCATACCTGGAAGCTGCCAGGTCAGGCAGGAAGGGGATTCAGGGAAAGGCTACCCAAAGTCCAGAGGACTGGCTGGAACTGCAGCTCAGAAGCTAGTAGGTGCTGAGTGCTGGTGCTGGGCAGCAAACTCCAGGAGAACCAACCAGAGACGGGCAGCTGCCTCTCAAGCCAAGGCCATGTCTCCAGACTCTGGTACCCCAGAGGCACATGAGCAGGAGGTGGTGGTCCCTGCAACAAGGGAAGTGGGACTGCAGCAACTCCCTGGGGGGGGGGGCACAGCCCTCCCCACCCACGGCTGCACACGGTTCTGGGACCTAGCTGAAGGGAAGGGGCGTTTCCCGCCCAGGAGTGAGTGGACAAGCGCTCATGCCGCTCTTGCTCAGTCTGTGCAGCAGGGAGTGGAGGTGAAGGTGAGCGGGCGGCAGAAGTAATTTAACTGAAACCGCAAGAGAGAAAGGCAATTCCCTCCCTGCTCGAGAACACACCCTTCATTACAGAGCATGCTTACAGATAATTAAGGTTAAGCCTGGCCAGGGAAAGCGGGAATCATTAACGACTTGGCGGTAGAAAAGGCCTGTGTCCGTCATTTACAAAAACCAGCACTGGAATTTTAAAGAGATAATAACAAAATTTTCTCCATGAACTAAAGGTGTTTGCCAACTTGGCTGCGATCCTAATTCCACTGGCACACACCTACCACCCCCAGATCCACTCACACTTGGAAAAAGGAAAAATGCTGAAACTCGCACCAGATTTTTTGTGTAAAAGCTGTAAGCAAGTAACAGTGAGGACAGACAGGGCAGGCGGAAGGAGGCCGGCCAAACCCTGTAATTCAGGGCCAGATCCGAGCTGACCTTCGGTTTGTAAAACAAGTTTTATAGGGTAAATTTATTGCATAAACAAGACTGTGGGGATGTGTCTGAATATCTCCAAGAAAATAAATAACTGTTGGGGTGGGCATGGTGATGAGTGGGGATGGTGAGTGGGGACAGGGAGCAGAGACTGTAGACGGGTGGGAAATGAGCCCACGGCCAGGACCACCCCAGCACTGCCCACGCCCCCTCTTCACAGTGCTCCCACAGCCACAGAGGAGGCTCCGTAAAAATGAAGATGAGAAACATTAACGACCAGCCAGCCCCTCGGGCCTTGCTACCCCCTGAAGAAATCCTGCCACGCAGGACATCCCAATGCTTCCAGAACCTGGAGGGCCTCCTTCCTCTGTCCCTGCAGGTCCCTCTGGTGCACCTGAAGGCCGCCCCTCAGCCGGGAAATCACCCAGGTGGCCCACTCGCTTTCTTCCATGGGCTCAGAATCAACACCACCCTACGACATAGGAGGGTCCGTCTCCTCCCCTTGGGCCCCCAGAACCCTACAATGCCTCCCTCCTGGCAAGGAGGTACCCACCTCATGATGACAGGCTGCACCGTGGGGCAGCCTTCAGGCCTGGCTCAGGGGTGGGAAACCCACAGGCCGCAGGCCAAATCCAGTCCACATGGCCATGACCTGAGGGATTTTATAGGCAGACACATTTCCTGCTGGATGTGATGATGGGGTGGTGGGGGGACTCACTCTGAACCCCAACGAAGAGAAATGTCCCTCTCGAGAAGACCCACTCTTCTCTTCAGTAAGCCCACAGTGCCAAAACCATGGTCCATGATCACTGCTATGTTTTGAATTTCATTAAGAAAATTTGTGAAAAATCATTCTCTAATGACTCAGTACTCAGAAAACAGCCTCAGTTTTGCCTCTCGACCCACCCATAAAGCCTAAAATATTAAAGTTGCCGACCCTGGCCCAGAAGCTCCATGCAAAACGTTTCTCCAAGAGCATCAGCCCACCCTATTCCTTCTGGCCATGAGCCAGCAGCACAAGGTGGTTGTGCCAACCCGGGGAGTTGGTCCCAGCACGCTGGAGTCCCAGTTTGAGCCGGCACTGGTGGGACAGGGCGGACTCCCTACACACCCCAGCCTGGCCATGCAAGTAGGCCCCCTCCGTGGTCACCTGCCTGTCCCCTCACTCCATCCAAGAAAGGCCAATGTAAGCGGAAAACACAGTTCTGAAGACAGTGGACGAAAGACACAAAGCACGGCCAGATCTGCGCTCCGGGGCCAATGTGCCAAGACAGAGTCAGGGCACATCAGAGGGCAGCTCAGTCTCCTCACACATCTGGCCCTGCAGAGAGCATGGAGCATTCGTGACAGTGTCCAACGAGTCGCTCTGCAGCCTGTGGGCTCGTTGTACAGCCAGAGCCATGACGGACACGCCTCCTTGTGGGAATAAAGCGAAGCCTGAGAATAGCAGGTGTCATTCAGAATCAAGATCCAAGCCAATCACCATGTGCTGCATACATGTGCCTAAGAGGAACCCAAAGGGCAGAGTTTACAGTGCCTGTTACAATGGAAGAACAAGGACATGCAGAATGCTCTCCACAACAGTCAAACTCACCCAAATGCCCATCACTGGTAGAATAGGAAACCCATCGTGTACCATGCAAGAGAGGGACACAGCGATGGAAAGGAGCAACCTGCAAGGAGCATGAATGAACTTAACAGAATGTTAAAAGCAGAAGATCACACGTGATATCCTACTATAAATCTTCAAAAGCATAGGCAAAACTAGGTTGTGCTATTTATGTTTGGGGAGATAGATTTCCCCGCCCC